CCCGCCGGCAGCTAGTTTGTTCCGCCGCGATAACTGACCTATCGGAACGCGCGTCCGGATGACGCCGCGGCGTCGCGGTGCCCACTGCGAGCTCACGTTCCATTCGTTCTCTCGGGAGACGCGATCGCGAGTCGTGCTGCTTCTTCCCTCCTATTCTTGCACATCGCCGGCTATATATTTAGAAATCCGCGGTTCCTCGCCGTTACAAGCTTTAATCCCACGATCCTCGGTGGTCGGCTATCACTCCTCCTTCCCACATATACGTGTGTGTGTGTATATATGTGTGTGCGTGTATATGTGTATATTTTGCACCCCCTTTCTATTTTCGCCGCGCACTATCCTCGTCCCTCTTTCTTTCTTTCCTTTCCTTTCCTTTCCTTTCCTTTCCTTTCCTCCTTCCGTTTCGCGCGCGGTTCTCCGTCCGTCCGACTATCTGTCTCGCGTGTCCCGTGAACGGAACGCGAAAGGGACACGTGTGCGCACGTGTACGGGCCTGAGGCGTGTGACACGTGCGAGCCAGCTCGGCAAATGTGAAATTATTTCTGCCTTTTGCCACGTACCCCCTACCTGCCCTCTTCCCACGCTACCTTCTTTCCCCCTTCCTTCGTACCTGCCTTCGAACCACGCTTGCTCGCTCGTGAACCCGACCACGGCGTCGACGCCGATAACCAACGCTCGCCGGCCATTCCACCATTCGGCGCGATTCACCGATCGCCTCTTACAGATCTCCTCTTGTCACCCGATGCCTCTCCCTCCCCATCGATCCACCGCTAATGGAACGCACGGCAGGATGGACGGGGGAGAGTTAATTTATACTCCCTCTTCTCCCTTTCTTCTTCGCGCTATTCGCGCGCGCCACGGATATCGCCTCTTCCTCCCCCTCCCTCGCTTCTCGCCACCTCTCTCGTTTCAGAGAGTTAAGTCGTCGACATCCTCCTCCTTCCTTTCGAACATCCGATTCCGCCCGCGTTCTCGATCCAACCCCGCGGATCAACGAGCGTACGCGTCACTCGGCGCGAGCGTGTTCTCGAGGATTCCCCACGAGAAACGCGTTTAAATCGAAGATGCGGGGAACGGAAGCCCTTTCTTTGCCGAAACGGACGCTGAACTCTTTCCTTCTTCTTGGGCGGATCTGTTGGAGAGGGAGAGAGAGAGAGAGAGAGGGAGATATCGATCGAGGCGTTCGGGTAATAGATTCCCGATTAGCGAGGCAGCCATCGAGACCGTTATTGTACTCCCGCTGGAATTCTAGAAACGTCGCCAATTACCCTATTGTCGATCGGCCGAAGAATGGAAATTGCTAATACAGCCGGCCTAATTAATTCCTTCCTTTCTTCCTCCTCTTCCGGGATACGAATTACCATTCTTAGAGATGTCGAAAATCTCCCTTTCTTTCCTGTTTATTAACGTTCTCCTATTTCACCCCCTTTTTCCCCTTCGCCTTCGTTTCTTTGAAAGCGGGCCGTTCGTTTCGCGGTTGGAAAACCGAGCTTATTTTCCCATTCACTACCTATCCTCGTTTCTTTCCCTCCTTTTTCGTAATCGGTTACGAAACTCGGCGAGGACGTATCGTCGAATAAGCTCTCTCTCTCTCTTTCTCTCTTTTTCCTCCACGCGTTTGAAAAACGCGCTCGAGCTTTCCAACACCTTCTCCCAGGATTCGAGAGCTCCACTCCCCTCCTTCCACGGTGACACACTTTCGCGAGGTAACTTTAATGCTTTAATACTTGCGCTCGAGAACGATTCGAAAGTTAATCGGAAAAATTTAACGCGGTTATATTTCGAGCTTTCCT